TTATATATATATATACTTGAAATATCAGGTTTAGAACCATCTTTTATTAAAACTGTTAATTAACATAAAATCATTAGTATTGTTAACACATTAAAGATCTAAGATTTTTTTAAAACCAGAAAGTCTAGACTAGAGTCCTGAAAATTAGGATTTTTACAGGGATCCAAATGATAAAGGCACAAGAACCAAATTATCACCTTTAGCACAAGTTCAACACTTAATTTCATAACCTCTGTCTTCCTGATCTTTGCCCAGTTCTAGAGGTGTCTAATTATCTGCTACTGAATGCTCTGAGATTAGCTCAGGTCCAGCAATTCGCATTCTGATAAGCCACACTGGCATTTACAATATCGGTGCTTCTGCCCTATTTCTTGCTCTACTTAATTTGTTTTAAAGTAGAGGGTCTTTTGAGGCTTTTACAAACTCTCTTGAAGGAGTTGGTTGCACCTGCTGACAACGAAATAGTAAAATGCTTTGTTTACATTTATCTATCACATACATTTGCAAGTATGAGGGGAAGGCTTTAGTTTAGTAACAACTAAACATTAAACAACATTAAACAGACTGAGTGATAAAAAAACCACGCATACTAAAGCTGTGTTACAGCAGTAAGCCTTTGGTATCTAAATCGCATTTTTTTTCCTCTTTGCCAAAAGAGATGTCATAACTGATGTGGTGACACCTGTTGTACGCAACATTTCATAGTCACAAACAAACTGACTCTTAGTTATAGATATTGCCAGGTATACGTTTATTTTAACTGTAGCACACATGCATGGGTACCTATGCACAGGCAGAGGAAAAAATACACACACAGGTAAAGTATATAAAAATACCTACCCGTAAGCAACTCCAGCAACAGTACACTTCTTAAATTGCATGACATTGCAGGTCAGGGTACCCGTTTTGTCAGAAAATATGTATTTGACCTAACGAAATGGTAAGATTCATTAGACATTAACATTCAGCAGTTATTTAGATAACTAGCATAATTTACAACTATCAACATATTAAATATTTTTCCCAGTTCTGTAATGTTCCTAGTTTAGAGAAAAAATATAAAGCCATAAACATAGCAGATGCATAATCTTGCAACCCATTTCCAAAGAAAGTAATCAATAGCTTAAGCTTGCTTCTGTATGTGGTGGTATACTTAACTATCTCTAACTCCACATACGTTGAAATGCAAGAAATTAGTGAAGACCAATGGTTTTGCTAGTAAAATATGCAATTTCTGACAGAAAGCAACATGGCAAAAACCCCCACAAAACTGTACACACTTCTAAATCGATTTTTTTGACACATCTTCTTAAATATCTTCCTAAAGCCAAAACAGTAAAAAAAGCCAAGAGTTCAGAAATACCAAGTTACAGGAATAAATATGTTCCTTTCTACGTAATCCAGGTCTCCTATTGCCCTAACAGCATTAACTTTCTGTCTCCGCAAATTACTAGTTACAGTATTTTAAAAACTGAAGCTGAAATACATATACCTGTGTGAAATTTAAATACAGTTCAAACTTAATCTTAAGGGAAAAGTTAATATTCAAAAAAATGAAGTGGTTTGTAATGAAACACAAGGCCTCAATTAAGGTAAGCTTCAAGTTGAATTCATTAAAATTTACTTCTCATTAAAAAAATTGCAGTATTCTTAATTAGGAATTAATGGCATTATACATGGAGCTAATAAAGCTACGTATTAGTAAAATTTACTTAGCATCTCCTATTTAACGATTTTGTTTCTGAGGGATTATGACTTAGCCAAATCATCAGTTAGAAGAAATCTTTCGTGCCAGGTTTATGCTACAAACTGTACTTTTACTGTGTGGGCAGAACGGGAAAGCAGGAATTGCAACTATGAAAACTCAACCTTTTCTTCCGACAAGTTTTGCCTTTCTTAAAACCTGAAGATCTCTCAGGGGAAATTTCCTCTTCATTATGTGCAGCCCTCATATACTTCAGAGAAGACACTTGCTTTTTTTGTTAGCAGCAAGTCCTTTGGACTCCCTACAAAAATCTGCTCAAATAAAGAATCTCAAAAAACTGGAAGTGGAGATCCCAAGAAGCCTGACTAAATCTCAGTGATGAAGGAGACTTTGATGAGAATCTTCAGAAATATAGACAAGAAATGTCGAAATAAAAAATAGGCAACGTGTCTGGGAATGTGAATAACAAACCAACTGCCGAGAGAGTAAAAACAGATTGTGTAAAATAAGACAGAAGGAAAGGTAAGATTCAGCAGTCTCTCCCCAAGTAGAGGAGCTTGTACGCCCCCTTTCAAGCAAGGAAGAGAATGAAATTCTCTGCTGTCCACACATACGTTTTAAGAAGTAGTCAAAAGCTCTGTCCTCCTCTATGTGTAGACCAATGTCAGAACATGTTAACCTGTAACTATTGTTTTCCCAAAAGGCAAATCTCTTCAGCTTTACTCCCTAAGACTTGTTTGATACATGGCTAAAATTATGCTATTATTTATTGTTCTAGGAAATCTAACCCCAACTTTTACATTCCCATGCAATAAACTAAAGAATTAGTTATGAAAACTTCCAGGTTAGGAAATGCAAACATACATATTTTTATGTATATATAACAGTTTAATTAAATAATCAAATAGTATTTTTCCACTGAATCACTTTTAGCATCACTAGTCTGTGTAACAGAAAACAATGTTTAGCAAGTTTTTAAAGCAAGACTGCAAATGCAATTGGTTGATCTATCAAATCTAACATGTACTGCCTCTGGGAGCACGTCCTGTGCCCAAGACACACCTCTATGAAGTCTTCAATGAAATGAAAAACATATGAGTAATCCCTTGTAAAAAGCATAGTATTAAAAGCAAACTCTAAAGCAAAATGAAGAATTAATCCCAAATGACCAGGGCTTAGTTCAGCTGTGAGCCCCAATACATTCACATCTCCAGTCTTCACTGGCAAACAAACAGGGAACGTATACAACCATGATTCAATCCTAGAGCCTACCCTGTCTCTTCTGACCAAGGCAGTATGTGTGAAAAAAAAATGACATTCTGAAGATGCACACTATCACAGAGTATATACAGAGACCAAATTTTTGTGCCACAGACAGCTTTAATTTTCAGAATTCCTCTGATTTTGTAACTTTAATAACACACTTCAAACTTCTGTAATGCACACTGATACTTAAAGCAGTGTTTATTTCCTTAACACTGGTTTAAAAAAGAATGCCCACATACTGCAGTGTTTTAAAAACGTGTCACAAAATGAACAGAAATAAGCAAAGACTAAAACAAGAATATAACTTTTTCTGAAAGGAATCATTTTAGTATTTTAATAATTTAGATTGTAAAACCACACGGATAACTTCAATACACAGAGCTAGAACCAGTAATCTTTTTCTACCTGGCCAAGTTCTTCATTGAGATTGGAAGTACGAGCCATTGCAGCAGTGTCTGTAGGTTCATAGTGCATGTCTATGTCCTAAAGATAAAAAAAAAATATATATATATTTAAAAATTAGTCTTCCATAACTTATTACAAGAAATCTAGCAGACAAATAGAAAAGGTAAGTGTAGAAGAGCAAATCAAATGTGAATATAAGTTATCTACTTATTTCAATATGGGAAACCACAGACAAAACCACATCACTTGCAAGAGTCCTCAGAAAAATTAATTTTCTCTTTAAAACAAAAATCTATCGGATTCTTTGAGATTTTACTCCAACTATTATCAGTGATTTATATTACTGAAAAATTGTTGTACTCATGCATCTAAAATAGATTCAGCATCTATTAGATGAAATACTACATTGTAGCACTTAAGTCAGCCTTATCTACTTAAATTATGCATGCAACCAGCCATTTTTAAATAGCAGGATAAATATACCTTGAAATAAAAACATGAAGATAGATTTAAGAGTACATAATAAAATTATGGCACGTTGTACGTGATTGGGTTTTGTTACCTACTTGTTCAAAAAAAATAAATAACCCAAAATTTATTTTTAAGTACCATAAAACATTAAAACATTGAGAAGTATGGCAGTGTAGTGCAACAGACTGCAGATGACCAACTTCTCGACACAAATATATGGAAACACACAGAGATAATGTTTAAGATAATAAATGTCCAGAGTGCTAGATTAAAGAGAGCTAATTCTTCTTGATGTGAAATGAGTGTGTGTATGTGTGTGTGTCAACAGTAGTCAATGTATATTGTAAAAAGAGTATTTACCCAATTTATGAAATACGCCTGGATAAATTTAACAACTTCAAGCGTAACCAACAAACTGATTGGAATAAGGTTATTGAAGAGAATGATGAAAGTCAGGAAATTCAATCCAAAGTTGCTTGCTCCACCATCTGCCAAAAAACAAAGCAAAATAACATTTAAGACCATATTTTAAAGTATGTATACACAGCACATTCAGAGTCTGATTAACTGTTGATTTTTAAAGTGTTCTGTGTCCAAGAAGAAACTTGAGAATTCATTAAAATATCACTTGCCTATAAATACGACCTTTGTAAGAGTTAAGGATTTTTGTGGAATTCAAATTTGGAGATCATAATCATCTTCTCCAATTTCTGAAAAGCAAATTTACAAGACATTCCCTCTTTTGCTATGTTTTAGGATCATAACCTGGGAATACGTATATACGGCAATCAAATTCGAAACTCTAAATCTTACGAGTTTTATATTTTTAAAGGGGGAAACTTGGAGAGGAATAAATGTTTTTTCTTTATCCACCCTAACACCTTTCCATTCACCACCTCCAACCCATGAAAAGACTTATAAAAAAGGTAAATTTGCACCACAAGAAAAGAAGAGATGAAGTTAAGAGAGTTTAATTAACATTCTAAAAGAACTGGAAATGTGAATATTAACATATATAGCAAGTAGTTTTATACTACATTTTTATTTTAAATTTTCAGATAACTGTAGCAGTAGCACCTCAAAGAAGACGCAAATGGGAAAGAGCGGTCTGCTCTCCAGTACAGCAAAAGACATAGCCTGCCTGCCTGTATTCAAAGATCTCTCAAAGAAAAACAGCCTCAGACAGATTTCCACTGCCTATGGAACGTGGATCTAGTTGTTACTCTATTTTGTTCCACAAAAGTGCCTTCAAATCAGAATTTTAAGATTTTTCTTTTAAAACTGACCAAACCACCCCACAATCCCCATGTTGATGGCTATATTAGCAGCTTGTATTCAAGACTGTTGATTCAGTAGCAGAAAGCCTAGTTCTGGTTCTACCCTCTAAGGAGGCTCTAGGCCTATCATTAGATATTCTGAAAACATGAATAATTGACTACAAAGTGTATTTATGAAAATTTCCTTTAAATCTAGTTCCTTCCCTGATGGTTAAATTATGTCAGTATGCTGCATGCTGCTGTGAAGAGCTGCACAATATCAAGGTGGATGTAATGCAACATGAATACAGCTGCCCCATATAAAATCTTGGATGAGATCTTCCGTGCCTGTTTTATTTTCTATAGTAGTCGTCTAAGATCTGATATTGGCAGCCAACATCTAGTTAGATCCCCGTAGAGTAAATGTTATAAAGCCACAACATCATTTCCTGGGATGAGGGAGCTTAAAAATTCAGAAAAATCACTGCAGCTTTAAATGTAATCCATCGGTAATAGCTGAGAATGGCTTTGGTTCGATGTCTAGGAAGCTGCTTATGCCAGCAGAATGCTGATACAGACCTTGCTGAGCTGCAGAGATGTAGAGGTAAACAACAAAGCTGCCTTTCCTAAATTTAGCAAGAGCTCAGATGGCACAGAAAGGTAAATTTTATACTTGCTGTGATACACCTATCCTAATGACTTCAACCAACAACCAATAAAGAAAGAAAGATAAAAAAATACTGTGTAAAGGATGGTAATCATGCTGCTTTCCAAATATGAGAGAAAAGAACTGAACGCTAAAATATTAATATATTTTTTTACATCTTACAATTTAGATCAAGATACCAGTCTCTTCCAGTATGCCTTCGATTCCATATAGCTGAACCAATAGAACAGATCAAAGACATGGCAATAAGGATGCAGAACAGAATCAAAATCTGAATATTTGTAATTCGTTCCACATTAGACATTTTAAGAGGTGGACTTGTTGAATTCTGCAAAAGACGGAAAACAACAGCTATTAAATATTAGAAGAGGCACACACAGTTCTCACTTTTCAAATTACATGTTACTGCATCCTTTTCTAAATATTCTCCCAGATATATCATCATCATCAATGTCATAACTGTTTCACTCAAAAAAAGACAGTACCTTATAAATCCATGAATTAGAGCTTTAGATTGGTGTCACAAGCAGTTTAAACACTCACACAGAACACTAACAGCAACAGCTAACAGTTAACATTAAAAATCTATGTACGTACACCTTATCAATGCTATAGAAGGCAATTGCTAATAAAAACAACTAAACTTTTTCAAATAACTCATAAAATGGAAAAGTAATAAGTAAGAGACATGCATGATCAATATGAAAGCATTATTTTTCTCAACAAATGGATCTCAATTTTGGTATTTCAAACAGCACTGGAAAAAATAATTTCATAGTCTGAGAATGATTTTCTTCGCTCCTCATTTTGCAAAATCAACAAAGTTTCACTTTGTTTTCCGACAAGAATGCTTACCTTTGTACTTGAAAGCAAGCTCCACAAGAGGACAGTTTTAGGAACAGTCAAAAATAAAAAAAGATGAACAAGCAAACTATAATGGTCCAACTTGCTATAGTTTTCAAAACACAAGTTACAAAATAAAATCTACAAATATGCTAACAATTGGGAAAACTACTCTGTGGCTACGTGGCTAGTAATGACAAGAATAGCTTTATTTTTAATTGTTTTACTAAGAAAGATGCTTTATTACTGACATTTGAACTACTATACTGAATCTAGCTGTGTTTTCTGAACATTTTTCTGTGCCGTGTAATGGCATAGTAAGGTAACCAAACAGATAATTTAGAGAAAATACAGGTGACAAACCTGCATAAGTTTGGTGTCATGTCCTGTATAGACAACTATTCCATGAACCCACTGAGTATTTCTCAACTGAGCTCCTCGTAGAAGAATCTGATCAGATCCCAACGGAACAGTACTAGAAGGAAGGAATTGTATATTTTAGCATTAAAACAATCGATGTTAATGAATAAATGTAACTAGAGGCTGTTAATAGCTCGTTCTGCAAAATTTAGATGATTATTGTAAACACGTTAGGAACCTAATTTTCTGAGTTGACTTTTTGGGAGTGTTGACACAGACAAAAATTGACAGTTTAAAGCAAGTCTAAAAAGTAAAGTTTGCAAAAATATTACTTACCACTTAATTTTGACTATGGTGCTACTTAGAAAGCATACTGAAACTAACAAAAGCTAATTTTCTTTTCATTTATGATTTAGAGGTTTAGAGTTTAGAGGTTTTTCTAAGTGTATGGTAATACTCAACTACTCTCACAAAATTGATTTTCCAAAGTAATTTTACAGTGAAACAGTTTTCTGAACTCTCAACTTAACCCTGTGCTGAGTAAATGAGCAGCAAAACCTTGTAAGACATTGGAAACATTTAACGGCCTTAAATTCAGACAGCTGACTTATATGCTGTACTTATTACAGCTGACTTATATATGCTGTAGCTCCCGTTTTTCATAAAATATAAAAAGTTGTAGATTTAGCTCAGTCGGTTGAGCATAGTGCTGATAACACCAAGGTCGCAGGTTCGATTCCCGTTTGGTCCCCACGTGTTGCCTGATGTAGCTGAGAGGCGTCCCTGCCCATAACAGGGAGGTTGGATTAAACGATCTCTAAGGTCCCTTCCAGCCTAGGCCATTCTATGATTACTACTCTTTTCCTGGGACAAACAACATCCTATTTTTCTGCACTTTTCTTTCTATAGTACTACCTAGCAGTACAGACTTGTCAATAGTTCTCTAGTGTTTGACATATTTACCTAAAACTATTAGCTCTACAGTTGTTTGCAACCAAGACATCACAAAGGTCACAACGAAACTGCATAATGACAGCAACTACATCTCTGATATATAAGCTATGAAGAGCCTGAGGAAGGCATGATATTTGGCAACATTTTTGGTATCACAAAGAGCAAGAAGTCAGTCTCGGCAAGTATCTTTCAAGTAATAGTATTTTTTGATTCATCATGTCCCCTTCTCTCCTCATACACAAGCTTTTAAGATTAAAAAACTTCAAGAAGAAACAACACACTCTTCCTCCCGTAAAATTAACAGTGCAATGTTAATTTGCAGAAACTAGACAAAAATATTTGATGTGGAAAAATACCTGAGTGCTCTTCCATAAAAAAAACAACCACCATCCAAGTAACAAAGCCTACAACTCAGTCCATTCACTTTCTAAGAAACTAGCAAAAAGCTTACTGGCTGTTTAAGAAACAATTCTCCCCACCAAATAAGTATGTTTCAGCAACTGAAATGGTGAATGATACTGCCATGGAAAATAATTTCCAGGTGCAGACAATTCATCAAAAGCAGGAATTGGAAAAGAAAGCTGAAATATAAAATATATTGAGATTTACTTGCCTTCTTAACCTGAATTATACTGCTCTTTTATTTGAGAAGTGTTCATATAATGGTAAAATTAAGAGAATAAACATTCTTCCTAGTAGGAAGGGAACTGCTGGGATTTGAATTACACAAGAACCATTAAGAAGGACTCCTGCTACAACAAAGATTGCTTCTGCACTTATATTTGTTTGGATTCCTGCATCAGAACCCTTAAGACTACTGGACCATTTATGAGCACAATACACAGACATTTCAGTTAAGGAAGTGATTATGTTTTATTCCAAGAATAATTAGATATTTTTAGTCTATTAACGCTAACAAGAATGCCACCAAAGATAAAAGGCATGTAACCAGAGAAAGTTACTTTTAATTCCCCACAGATAAATTGGAAATCTTTTCAGCTACAGACCTTCTCTTGAATGCCAAAAGACTTTTTCTGTCCCTTTTATTAACACAAACGTCTCCGGGAAGGCAGTTGAAACCTTCCACTCTTACTTCTTGTACTCCTTGAAGAGTCAGGTGACTCTTCCTGACACCTCTTGATCTTCCCCTTTCTTCTCCTCTCTTAAAACCCACGAAGAATATGCAGTAAAGTCCCTTCTATCACAGGATACTTTTTTTCATCAGGACACTGGCTCTCAAAAGGAAACCCTTCTCCAACAAGGGACAGGAATTTATGCTCAAGGGTCTTTTGGGAATACAAAAGAGAACTAAGATTGTAGCCAGTCAAGTTTTCTCCAGCAGAGCTGCTGCACAGACCCAGGAGATGGAAACAGACAGCAGAACAACCAGGTACCTAGAAAGCCCCAATCTGCTAGGTATCATGCTGATTCTACACATTGTGATCTTACCTCACTATCTAAGGTGGTGATGTTATGATGATTTGACCGAGTTGCCTAGTCTTTATTTCCTGGCCTCGGCCATCTCAAAACTGCTCTAATTTAGCTGATTTTTTTTGTATGCTACATGACTAATAACTCCTCAGCAACACACTTGGGTTGCATTTGGTAAGGGACACTCTGAACTGGGAAATACCCTTTCAATATACTTTTCTGCCAGGGCTGTCAAGTGTATATTAAGAGCTAATAAATTCTAAGACATATTTGAAAGTTTACATATGTAAATGTTTTTCTTAACAAGCATACTTTACTGTTATCCAAAACTTAAGTAAATGTTTTTCTGAAGATATTGTTAAAGTCTGGATAACCAATATCTGCCCCTGTTTTTAAGTCGCTTACCCTTTTTCTCTGAACCATTGTCTAACTATAATTTCAAATTTATCCAGGCTAAAGAACTTTTCTCATTTCTCCAGCTAATTGTCTTAATTGCCTCAGACCAAGTGACATGTGGCTGTGTATTCATGAGCAAAACAAAGAGCTGCATGCTTTGGAGACAGGAGTTAACACACTCAAAAGCTGAGGATACGAGGTAAACCTTTTTGGCCTCTCAGCCCACAGATTTAGCCAAAAGGCAAAATAACTGTAGTGGAGTTCTATCTCCTTGAATACTGAGTATCCAAAAGGAAAACAAGGAAGCTTCCTTTTTTTTTTTCTTTTTGAGTTGCTCTCCCATGAAGGAAAAAAGAAAATACTGAAAAGGTTAACATATGGCACACCAAAGAGTTACCTCAAGTGAAAGAAGAAAGGAGAGATACATTTTCAGTATCCTCTACTAGTTTTGCAAAAATGTTAAGATGGTAGTGGATAAAGTGAAAATCATAACTCCTGGATCTACATGTTCTGGTAGGAAGGTCTTAAAGATCTGGATAAATCAGATGAACCTGTGCTACCTCTAATATGAGCAGAAGGAGAACTCATCCCTGATTTTTCAGGTTTGAAATAAAGTCAGGATCCAAAAAGAGTTACTTACCTGCAATTCTTTTTCACTGAAGGTAAATATTATATTAGAGCCACACTTCTGGAACTATCCTACTGCACCAGAATTATATCAAAAATAAACAAAAACTGAATTTCTCAAATGGCAAATTGCTGGACCAGCAGATGGCGTGCTCCTACCCATTCTTGAGGCATAACAGCCATCAGCACAATCAATGTTTGTTTTTTAACCCAAATTTTAAAATTAAATCATCTGCTTTAAAAGAAAAAAATACGGTTTTCTCTATAGCCAGGGAGGAAGGATGAATGTGTGGATCTACTGTAACTATTACCTTCAGAGAAGAATTACAGGTAAATGTTTTTCTTTTCTCATCTACAAGTACAGTGGAATTATAATAGATCCACGTTCTTGCGACTGAAAACTCCAGGATTGTATATGTAAGAAATTAGTAAATAAAGAATGGAATATAAAAGAATTAAAGGTGTTTAAGAATTAGTTAGTACTATATGTATCAATCTAAACCCACAAACATGAATAATATTGTATATGGTGAAATAAACGCCTAACAAATAAAAAAGAAATCTTGTAAATCTTTGAGAATTAGGAGAATTTGAGGTATTTAATGATGAACTCCATTCTACTCCAGACAGACAAACAAAAGAAAACAACAATAAAAAAAAAAAAGATAAGAAACTACTTCTGTTGAGCTTCTATAACAGAAACTTAACAGGCAAGGAATGAGATGCTTAAGAAATGAGTTACTAGGTATATATTCCAGAACTATTAGAATTTGCTTAGCACTCCCTTCTATTAATAACTGTTGCTTTATGAAGGCCAACTAGTATGAAAACTCCACTTGTAGACACCAGAAATATTACCTTATCCCTCAAGTTTTTTTTAAAGAATAAAGTCTAATAAAGAATACATCAGAAGACATTTTTATGTCTCTAGTCATAGAATCATAGAATGACAAAGGCTGGAAGGGACCTTAGAGATCATCTAGGCCAACCTCCCTGTCATAGGCAGGGACGTCTCTCAACTAGATTAGGCTACTCAAGGCTCCATCCAAGTTGGCCTTGAACACCTCCAGGGAGGGGGCAGCTACAGCATCTCTGGGCAATTTATTCCAAAGTCTTGCCACCCTCGTACTGAAGAATTTCTTCCTAAGGTCCAATCTAAATCTAATCTCCTTCAACTTAAACCCATTTTCCCTTGTCCTATCAGTGGACACTCTTGTAAGTCCCTCCCCAGCCTTCCTGTAGGTTCCCTTCAGGTATTGGAAGGCAGCTATTAGGTCCCCCCGAAGTCTTCTCTTTTCCAGACTGAACGGTCTCAGCTCCCGCAGCCTGTCCTCATAGCAGAGGTGCTCCAGTCTTCACCGAATGAAAAGTTTACTATTAATATTTTAAGTTGAGTAGTTTAACATACAGGTATCTACTGTTAGATTGACTCTACTGAGATGATCTTCCTTGGATTTACATACCCATGCCCATCCAGTCTGATATTTCCCACAAAGTCATAGAGATGTCTGTTTGGACTTTCACATTCAATTCTGCCTGAAAGTCTCATCAAGCTTTCTATGTCCTTTATGTCCGATGTTAGTGGCAAACCCTGTAAATAAAATCAGTTTGTCATGACATTAAAAATCACTTTTCAATATATAAATTTATGTAATATAAAGCTGATGGTGCAAACCCAGAAAATCAGTAAGAATCCCTATGGGAACAAAACAGCACTGTTACACTGTCACACTGCTGGATGCTACAGATAGTGAAAAAGTCACCTTGGTATCTTACAATGGGGTCATTACCCATCATATAATTCAACAGGTATGTCCCTGCATAGAGACAGTGCACTCAGTCATAAACTGCAATACCCTACCTACCCCTCAAGGACAACATTGACACTTACCAGATTCTTTCTGCACCTCTTCTCTGTCATCTATCCTCTAAAACCCAAAGCAATACCCAACTAAAACTCCTTCCATCTCTTTTCCCAAAGAAAAAACAAAAAACAAATGCAAGGTAGGAGTTAGGAGTAACCATTCACTTCTTTTGCTTAATTAATTGAACAAAAACTTTTGTGATGTGAATAATCTGTAGCTTTTTATTCAAACCATTAAAATTTTTGTCTTCTAAAACAGCCATTAGTGTTATAAAACATTTTGCAAGTAATAATAAATTAAAACTACTTTCGAAATATTCCCAAAAATGAAATTCCTACCTGTCGAATTTTTAAGTTTGTCTCACCATCTAAGTTAGATGTTTCGATGTAGCACATAGCTTGTGGTTCACTATTAGGGAAAAAAAAATTTCTTAATTTTAAATTATCAGAGTCCATGAACTTTCTGTAATTTCCTAACAGCTATTTATGCAATTGTTCTTTTCTCAGAGAATCTTCAGAACTAGAATAATTTACAGTCAAATCTGTAAAAACCAACAGTACTTCACATTTTCAGGAAAGTCTGCCAAATCCTACCTACCTTAAATGAAATACTGCTAAAAATGCTGTACATGGTAACTTTTCTGTGTACATGAGATTAAGATACAGGTACAAAGGCAGTACATTTGTAGTGCTTACTACTGTAGGTAGCAGTGGTTTAGACATGAAAGTCTTCTCGTAAAGGCTTGGTTCTCTTATGAAAAAGTCTACATTATAGATAACAAAATAAAGTTTTTGAAAGGCATCTGTCCTCTATCCAATTTAAAAAGATTTTCTAGAAAAGTTTTACCTATTTTATATATGTTGATGAAAGGCTTATTGCATTTAATTTTTTCTATACATTTTTTGATGTGTAACAGCAGTATTTTGTAAAACACTTCTAGATTTTAAATCATATTACAACCATTTTAGAAGCGTTAACTAGGAAAACAAAGACCAGAAGGACAAAACTACTTTTCTGCAAGTAGATAGTAAACAAGAACAGGTCTAACAGGTCAGGATTCCTGAATTACTCTATTCAGCTCCCATTTTCCAGGACAGATTGCTACTTGTGTTTACAATAGAAAGAAGTTTTGGTACTGTAAAGTACCAGAGGAATCACAAAAATCCCTTACAACCTACTTCAAAGCTCTAATATTTTCCTTCTTTGTAGCATAAAATTCAAGCATCAATTGTTTTTTAAAATCTGCTTTCTTAATGCACCAGGGACAATGGATAAGCAGCGTAACCTTGTCCTGCAAGCATTTTAAAAACTATGTGGTTGTTCTAACATTTTTGTAAAGTAAAAGCATTAATATGTGACAAATCACTGTCATAAATCTGTTTTGGGCTGAACTTTTATTCTTGGCAAACTTTTCTGAAAATGTAAATAACTTCTGTTTGGATGGAATCACCTGCACAAAGCATTATTACAATTCTAGCATTTTTATTATTCAATAGTAAAAAAACAAACAGTATCTTTGTGAAGCAAAGAAGACTAAGGCAGCAAAGACATTTCAAGTGAGATACATGCTTAATTGTAATTACTGCAGCAGATAGCAGTGACGTCTATCAATAAGTTACAGTTAGATCAAGGCAGGCCCATTGATTTGTTAGAGAAAAACAAAGTGCAGTAGGAGTGCAGATAATAGCATAAAGCTGACATGTCTAAGAAACATGCATTTTGTCACAATACACACGAACAGTGCTGCTTTTGCCATTGCATGCAGCAGAGATTGTGCAACATCCAAGTTTGTGCAGAGGGTCCTCTACCAGTCCTACCAATATCGAACTATATTCTTTGCTGAAAATAGTGCGCTGGTGTAAATATATATATTCTTCTTAAGTCACTCTGAGGAATTAAAGATATATTTGTCCTGGCATTTAACTGTATTTATTCAAAGACAACTTGTCTGATAAAATTTCACGGGGATAGCATAAAAACAAAGAGGACTGAAACAAATTTTCATGTCTTGGAGTGTTACCACGTATTTACACTTTAACCATCTGTACTTTTATCAACTGAACCCTTTCTAATTTTACAAATGTCTGAATTTTGGCAAAGACAGGTGAAGAGCAGAGGAAAGATTATGAGCACAGCAGTGTTCTTCATATTTGGTATATGAGGACCCACGTACACGTATCCTGTGCAACTAGTTTATTCTAACCTGGACGACAGACTGATGAGATCAGCCGGGAGATGTTCCCCATTGGTCACTTTCACTACTTCCCCTACTGCCACCTACACATCCCAGTTTGAAAATGATTAGAACAGAAAAATAAGTGACAGGGGGAAAAAAATAAAATAAGAAAAATAAAAAACAAAACCAAACAAATGGACAAAGACAAAAAGACAGAGTTTGAAATTATTATACAAACATACATGTTAATTAAAACGTCTGATGACAATTTTTTCAAAATCTATTTTAATCAGGTCAGGAAGAAAAGAGCTAGAGTATTTTCATTTTTACTCCAGTAGACTGTTTTACTGTAAGGCACCAATTTTAAGCTGCAGAATACATTGATATTGTATAGTAAAAATAAAAAGCTATTATGTTCACTTCTTGACTGACTAAGTCTCTAGCCACTCTGCACATTAATTTAAAAATTAAAAAGCATCACAACAGATTTTCCACCAACTTTTTAAGGAAGTCAGGTGACTTGTACCTTTCTATGCAGACATGCTAAAAAGGATTTTGTGTTTTGTTTCAGCTTGGTAAATTTCAATTTATACTGAACTAGCAAGAACAAAAAAGAATTAAATTTCATGTTTGTGTCCTTCTACCATAAGAGAAGTTCCCTAAAATAATTAAGAACCTCTTATTTTCCAAGAACTGCTATTGCTGGTAAAGAATTAAGTATTAGTTTGAATTAAAACCAGGCCCACAGGCTCACATTGCTATTGAAACCTAAAATGTAACTGGATATCTATAAACACCTGGAAAGCAAAATTGCTGAGATCGTCTTCCCAGAGAACACATGGCCACGTGGAGATGAGAGGTGAAGGAGAGCACAAGCCAATACGCAGGCAGAATGAGAAGGAATGTACGTGGTTGTCTCTTGGAAGGACGGCTGCAACAGGACCCTAGTAATATAAGAATTATTTTTTTTAGCTGTAAGAAATGCCTAAACTAAGTCCAGAAAAGTAAACACGATTCAGAGTCCCCTTTGCAAATTGGATCCTAAAAGAGAACATGACAGGGAAATTCGAGGTGAGTAACGGTCAAACTCTGGACGGTGTATTCTGTCCAGGGCTGTAAAGGGAGGTTAAACAAAGAGGTTAAAGTGTTGACAAGCCAGTAGCAGCTAACTACTATTTCAATTTATCAGTGTGTGATGTACGATGCCTTCAGGGGGGAACAAGGCTTGGAAAAAAAAGCTTTGCAAGCAACTGCTGTTTTTCTGGGCATAAACTACAACTGGAGATGTGATGCAAATGTCCTCCAAATCCAAAAGGGCAAAACAGTGAAGACATCTAGGCAAAGACTCAGGAGCTTACTCAGGAAGATTGTGAAGCAGGTGCTCTGAGTGGATGTAATCTCTTTCACTTCCAAAACACTAGGGTTAGCATGACAGGCATTATCAGGCCAACAGAACAAGCCTATGAAGATCTTGGTGGGAAAGCACCAACAAAATTTACGTATGCTTCTCAAAGTGCAGAACTAAAAGGTTTACTCAAGGATACTCAATCCAGAAACATCTGAAGTTATGACAAACATTAGTACTGAAGACAGATTGTGAGGAAAATTTAGTATTATCTGGCAACTAGTTTACACTTGATAATAATTTAACTCAAGTATTTCAGAAACAGCTGCACTTAATTTTGAGATATAATGGAAGATGGAATAAACAACGTACTAGTGTGCACCACAGTCTCACAGAAATGTAAGATCTTAACCTTATTAACTGCATATGTGAATGGATCTATTAACTTCCATAGGATCAATCCATAATCGAATACATCACAATACTGCTTTCGCTTGTGCCAGAAAAAAAACCCCATGGAAATTGCATTGTAAACATACAGTAATGGTTCAAAATAAAATTGATCATATTTAAATAATCTTCTTTCAAAAAACATTCTTAGAATATGTTGTCTATTGACCTGATCAAATAGATGTTGAAAAATGTGCATCTTCCACATAATATGTGGATTTCTTAAATAAAACTGTCCAAGGAAATGATGATAAACAACTTCTGATTTTCCATGTAAAAAGAGTCATAGCATTACACGCTATAAATTAAGTACTGCTTTCAGTGCTGAAATTATTCATAATATATATATATTAGGGAAAAAAGCGAATGTTCAGCTTGAAGACTGTGCTATTTGATGGCTCACATCTTGTGTTCACTGTTTTTTTATGATTCAATCATCAAACTGTGACTATATCCATTAAAAAAACACTTCTGTTCCCTGTAATAATAAATCAATTTTCACTTATTCATATGTTACAATTTGCTAGGTACATATCAAGAACAACGTGGTTGAATATGGCAGATGAGGTCCAATTGACAGAGAATCATCCTTTTTTTGTGTTATATCCAACAAAAAAAATAACATACTCAGGTTTTCCTAGAGATAAATTGAATGCCAGGATAATTTTAAAACTGCAATTGTCACAATTTATAGAAACAGTGCCTCAAATTATAAATGCCCAAATGAACAAAAGACTACACTTCAAAACAGCAGCATTTTTGTTTATTCCTTATTTCCTTGGAGCAATCACAAATAAATAAATAAATAAATGCAGGGTAGAGAAACCGGCCTCTACACTATAAGCATCAGTGGGCATCTCTACCTTGATGAGAGCAGTACAGTGTCAGCAGGTATATACTCTTTGCCTTTTATTATAACTATATCTCCAACATCTACCTGAAAGAAAACTGGGAATCAGTTAATGGTCTCAAACAAAATATGTCACCCCTTCAAGCACAGTAAATATTTACCTGCTGAATTTGCTAGGAAGACTGTTAGAAGCACACTTAGAGAAGCCTAGAGGTATTAGGTACTCAAATGTCACTGGAATTCTTTAGAACCCTATTCTTTAACAGCACTAATCCTGACCTGCTCTATGCAGTTTTTTACTTTTGCTAGTTATTGCAAAATGTTTTATTGGAAGGCTTACGCTGAGCTAAAAAAGTAACTAATCACCCCTAAGATCAGAGTTCTGTTGCATCATGCTATACACCTTATCCTTGCTTTTCCAAGCTATAAACCAATTTCATCTGAATCTTGCCTCCAAATTACTGTGGGTCAAATTTTGTTCAAAATTCCGGCATGGATACCACTAAACCTAAGGGACTATACAGACAGCATATCATGTAACGTGGACAATTTAACAGTCACTTCCGAACTGCTGTGTAACAGTCTTCATAATTCTCATGGTTTATGCAAAGAAGTTCAGCAAATACACAAAGTAAGTAGTTTTCAAAATGAAGTTTCTACTCTGGCACGCTAAATAATACTAAGGAACTGTATAGTTTTGCCATATGTAAATATTCCCAAGTCAATCATATTATTCAATTTATTTTTCACTGAACTCAAAGCTCACCATTTAACAGCAGTCTTGCCTGACTCATGCCATCAAACCTGACTTAAAAGTACATCTTAAAGAGGCAAGCATTAACAAAAAAAATGAAATACGAAAGATTATACATTTCTCACCATACCAGTTAACACTTTTCAAAGACAATTACTTGGAGAAATAAAGCAAATATTAAATCTACATTATGCTCTGAAAGTCATCAACACAAACACACACCTTTTCCCAATGGACAATCTCCCATGCACCATTTCGTAGTACTGAAAAAAAGAACAAAGAATTTTCCAGTTGTACAATCTAACTGCAGTATACAGGTATGTGTTAGATTCCTTATGACAAGCCAAACAGACATAGCTCATTTGCACGATATTTTACAGCATGCCTCTTGTCTCTAAGTTCAGGTCTAGCATGTCAATTATACAGCACCTATTCCATGCAACAGTTTTGGTATCATAAAATCTTATTACAAAGTCCAACAGAACTTTTTACATGGTTTGAGAATCAATTAAATCTAATATTGATTGTATGATAATGATGTGGTTTTTAAAACAAATTAGCAATTGGAATAAGACGTTCCGAAGTCAAACAGTTATGAAATTATTGGAGGGCAGAGGGAGGGGAGAAGAGAAATCAATTAACTTCTTTTTTTTCAGTTCAAATATTGACTAGGTTCATAAAAAACTTTTTCATAAAAAGCCACCAGTAGACTTCTTAGGATTCAGCTGTTCTTACTCTTATTGGAATGTCTGAGAACTTCAGGATCATTCCAGTCATCTCCAGAAATATACTGGAAATCCTCCAAAGCAACCCATGATATTTAGTATAAGATTTAGTATAGATTTTCCCTGGCAGTAGCAATTATTTTCAAAACACTCCACTACTCTAGTTCTAAGTACTCCTACCATGATACAAAATCCATGCCTCACTTGCCAGTTAATTGCCAAGATTGTGTTTTCAGAGAATAAGCAACAGTTACAAAGCTACTGAGGACTTGTGCAAAAAGAAAATTAAATGAAACCATATTGTCATGTATCAATATTCAAATAACTCCAGGAGACTGTTCTCAAAAGTGGATCAAAATCTGGGAATACATATGGCCTTTACACTTAAGCCTGTCTTGAGGTTCTGGTCAGACTGACCCCTCTTCTTGCATGTCTCAATCATTTCTGTGAGTCGTTATCTAACCTGCTTAATAATCTTTAGGAACACAGAAATTCTCTTTCCTTTCCTTCCCTCAAATTTACTACTGCTGATATGCTCAGGGCAGTAGCAAATGAGCAGTCTCCCTTTCAGACACCAAGCAAAGTATTTTAATGAATGTTTCGCCAATCAGTTAATCATTACACAAAATCTATTTTGACCAACTGTCTCCCTTCACTGAGAAAACTACAGATCCAGAGTGACGACTGGTTGCAAATACTGTCTTATGGAACCCAAAGATATTCAGTAACTGTGCCACTAGCTATCTACCTCCATTCCCTTGGGTCAGCAGTACTGTTTGTGGGGCCACGGTATCAGCCAGAAGAGGTAACTGATGAGGATTATAAATACATCTTGCACTAATCCAGATGACAAGAAGTTTCACAAATAGTTACAGTGGAATTCTGCAGGTCGGAAAAGTAGATGAGATGCTGGAGGTGGCCAGAGGCTTCTAAAGAGGTGCCGGCTGCAGAAGCAAAACTTGCACCACTGAAATATGTCCTTAAGGCTGTTTCACGTGCAGCCAAGTTGACCTAACACAGTATTGTCACTGTGAAGGGGAGGTCCTGTTCTGCCCTCACCCTGTGCAAAGGTGCATGCCCTCCCTGCAGAATGTCTGTTTGCTTCTGGCATCTGATGGACCCTTTGATGAGCCAGTTTAACCCACTGTCAGCTTTTCTTACTGGATTTCTTTTCTAATGGTTTAGCTGGTTAAAATCCGCTCACAAATGAATGAGTTAGAATGATGGAAGGATGCCGAGACACCTGAAATCTCAAGAATACATAAACCTGAGCTTGATCCTATAAGTTTTTAAGTGTAATTAACATACACTGACATTCAATTAAATCCATTTTCTTATGAGAACATAAGTAGTGTTGCTATGCTCCTTTTTTATAATAGTTAGAGAACTTGTGCCATAAAGCCAGCAGTCCGGGTTTCACATTTGTATCTCCCATTTTTCAGCTGTCGCTAACAACTAGTTTTCAAAAGCATGCTCCATCTGCCCTACAGAACACTGCTTCATCACGCTGCAGAAATGCACATTTCATTATGTCTCAGTCTGACTGTGTCCTGCTGTATACGTATGTAGCCTCAGGTAGCAAAAACTATCACTAATGCAGCTTAGTAAATCCTCTGCAAAAGTTTTTTTTATTGTAATGGAAATTTATAAGGTTAATTAGATAAGGTTGACTGAGATTCAAATGGTCTTTAAGGAACAGACAAATGAAGGAAAACCCATATACAGCATGTATAAATGCAAGTAATTGCATTAACAATTGTGTATGTTTAAAAGACAGCCACTGGTAAAGTTGGATATATCATTCATCATGCACAGCGCTACTTTTCAGGGTTACAGAACTGACGAATACATGAAAATAAAAGTAAGAAAGTACCATACTGATTAACTTTTTCACTAGCACTTTGACAACAGACTACATTTGACAATAAATTTAAATATTACTTTGATAGTACAGTAGGATTCATGTTGTACTTCTGTGAATCTTTCACTTATTTATCAGTGCAAGCAATATTTTATGTATCCTTATTACACTTTCAACTTCCAAGATGCTCTTTCACATACATGGAACACGTAGGGATTTTAGGAACAGTCACCAAAAAGCCCAATGAGAAGTAAGCAAGAAGAAAAGGCAGGAAAAACAGTAAAACAAGTCTTCATTAAAGCTTTGTACACTCTGGACAAAAAATAAAAAGGCACTTCAAGATTCACTGCAACCTAAAACTGTTAGTTTTAATCTCAAAAGCTATAAATGCCTGATGAAAGAATTTTGGATGTCTACATTAAACTTTCTTTTGTTTTTTATGTACAGATAAGAGGTTATCTGTTTTCCAGGCTTGTTCTCTGGAGGTACCTGCTCCAAGTGCTTTCACTCTATAGACCTGTCTCCTTGCCCTAATCTCTTCATACTTCCTATTGAGCTACATGTTCAGTAGTTTCGTAAATTATCTTCCTCCTACTTCCAGAAATTTTACAGTAATCTTCTAGATTTATGTACAAATTAGGTAGGCTTTATAATTATGGTTTTTAGAGACACTTCCAGTGGTTAGCAGCACTAAACAATTCTGATTATCATTAGTCAATGACTACATTCCTCCCTAAAAAAACCTTGAGGTTATGTTTGTTATATATTTAAACAAGACTCAGTAAAAGATTCTCCTTTATAGTATTTTTCACACATTCTGCAATCAAATTCACATAACACTCACTCTTATCCCTGTTTGTAAAAACAGAACCAGCTCTTGATAGAAAGACCTACCTTAGAATAGGTAACATGAAAAATTAAAGAGCAGCAAAGCAGGAAGATACTAGCTAACATCTTCCTCTCTTTCTGAGCTGAAATAATCCTCTGATTTAATACTACTTCTCTTCCTTATTAAAAGCTTAAATAAAACCAAAACAAAATCCACAACACATTCCAAAGTTTTGGCTTGGGTACACTGCCTAAATATCTCATTATCTCTAATCAAACCACTAAACTGATTTCATATTAAGAAACCCACAATAAAACAAAATCAAAAAACTCCATTTGTCTTTATCCACAGTTTTGAAGCAGCACAGAAAGTTCCATTTTATGACTCTTCCTTCCAATTCTAGAGCTATAAAATATACTTATAAATAAATATATAGTACCTAAAGTAATAAATAAAATTATTTAAGATTTAAATAGAGTTCTAATTTGTATAGTAAAAATCTAGTACGAAGTACTGTGGCGATTATTATCTTTTAACGGCTACTGTATCACATGTGTTAAATTAGTAAATTTTAAACTTTCGTAGGGACCTCATAAACTTAATCAAGGACATACTCCATGTGACTGCAAATTGTTATTTCAGCTGTTTAGATTAAATTTTTTTAAATAACCTGCATAAGCAATTTCCCAGTTACCTGTCAGCAGTTCAGATTATATCACTACCATTTCCAAAAAACTCAAAAAAATCCCCCAAACCACAATTAATAGGCTTAAAAAAATTTCCTACCTTGAGTTTGTTTCTTGTTCACTGCATTATCAGCTTTATGCCTTTTCTAAATTAAAAATACACAGTGGTTAAAGTCTTCTGTTGACATGATAAAGCATTCACAGTTAAGATAAAAACAACATGTATTACTCCTTCCCCACTCATCAATAAAATAAACTGGTTAAAAAACCATTTTAAACAGAACTATGGATTACTTGCATAGTGAGGATCATTAGGAAAGTTACACTCAGTTCCAGACTAATCGTGTTGTACTAAAATGTCCTCTCATGTGGGCAATAAGGAAGGGGCCTCTGGATATGATGTTTGCCCTTTACTGCAACTGGGAAACGATTCTACCAGAGCAAAGATCACTCTTCACACAACCATCTCACACAGATCTGAAGTCAAGCAATGACGGCGTGACCATATGACTTCACTTCCACATAATGGCTTGCAGACTTCAGCAACAGTAAAAACCCAAAAGACAAACGACCCCATCCCCGAAATAGCCAATGATGTCTCTCAGTTTTAATATAGTTGTGAGAAACCTTTTGATAGAAATCTTTTGATGCAGCTAATAACCAGCAACATTTTCAAGGGATAACCAACCTTCGCTACAAAAAGCTTAGGAAACTACTAGTTTAAACACAGTATTTAAGAGTAATAAGCTTAGCTTTTCCTGAGCAGGAACATCATTTGGAAAATTAATTTGCATAGAATTAACTGGTTTAGGTAAGCTTTTTGAATAAACGTACAAAACTCAGGCCTTTAAAATACAAATACAATCAGAAGCAATCTTGTAAACTGAAAAAAAAGTAAGTCAAGCTACTTAAGAGATGTACTTCTAATAAAATGCTGGTATGACTCTAAACTAGTAGCTCTTAAAAGGCCACTTTATCGCTTTGAAAAGACTAAGTTAATGTATAGTATTTTTTTAACTAGATTTTTCACAGATTACCAGCAGATTCTCCTTTCAGAAAGACACTGGTTTCACAGATCAACAGCCGTTGATCAATGGGAAGGCAAAACTACTTGACCAAAGAAGGTGTTTATTTGCCTACAGGGAGAGTATCCTCCAGTTTGAAAAGTAACAGTTTAATGGCAGCTGTTTTCTGAGCTATGCTGTGGGAAAATCATTGGAAACACCTGATAATTTAGCACTGCATGTCACAAATTTTGCTAGCACTTCTGAAGCACATATGGAAAACACATGCTGTTCCTGAATAGTCTTCTGCTAACATCTTCTGCTTGTTGGTATTTCACTCCAGAAAAGTAAGCATTTAGTTCTTGAATTTGAAGTTTTGGAGAAATTTATTTATTGATATTGATATAAGGTTCCCACCCACAAGACAATCTTGCTTCCATATTAGATAAAGATAAGCATTCCTAGAGATCTTAGATATCTCACTGTGTAAAGAAACTAAGACATAATTAAAATTAAAGGTTAAAGGAAAATACACTGAACATTTTACTATGCATCAAGCTGTCAGCTTTCACAGGAAAAAAGTATAGCTGTCAGAGTTAGCCAAATATTCCAGCTCCATATAACCAGCAGGCAACATTAAATTTCCCATGTGGTTGACTAAAAAACTAAACCAAGTTGTTTTGTTTGGACTATACTGTGTAAAACTCAGCATGTAAAACTCAGATGTGTATGTATAAACACATACAGCCTTTAAATTATTCTCCCAATCAGCTACTACATCTCATTCAGTTTCAACTAAGCACAGCTGAAATTAACCACATGTTGAGGCAATGTAAACTTAACAGTAAGAAAAATAGTATTTGATTTGCCTTTAGGTACCTCTAATATTTGGTAATAAGAACTTAATAGCTTTAGCTGCTATATGCAGAAAACCCTAAAGTTGTTCCCTATCTTCCCCTCCCTCACCAAGCTGCACACTTTAAGTTGCAAAGAGTAAACAGTAGAAACAAATGATATAAAAGCGAATGTTAAGACAGTTTTAAAAAGGACACTTTGTACAGTAGCAGCAGCCTCATTTTTATATTTGCCTAGACACTGACAGATGGTGTAAGTCTGTAAGCATTAACAGCAGAACAGTTAAAAATATCTGAAAGAACATGAATTGATTTTGTTTATGTAAAGAGAAAGCAACATGACACTTAAGGTGAAGCTACTGGGTAGCAAATACTAGAAATGCAAAATAGAACAAAAACATTTAACAGAACCATCGTTGTCTCTTGCAGGACCACTCAACTCTTGTGGCCCAGCAGCTTCATACAGTCCCAGGGGACGATATGACCTGCCTACCATCCACTCACAGAGGTAACCGCGAAGACTGAGTTGTCTGTATCATCAGGAAGGGTAGCATGTGCCCAGGCACCCTCACCTACCTCATCACTACTTCCTCCTGCACACACATTGCAATTCTGCTCAAACACAAAAAATGTCATGCTGCCAGGAAGCCTCCTATTTGTGTGCAGGGAAAGGCTACACTACCTGCAACCCTTTCAAAAAACCAAGAAAACAGCCCACGATATAAAAAAGCAGAAACACTACCCCTGTAGCGCGCACGGCACTCTGCCATATTATGATGTTATCAACTGCCTGTCCTCCATATAACATATTTGCAGAATTAAAAAAGAACAAGAGAAGACGAAGAAATTCTTAGTATCTACAGTGATTTGGTAAATCATTAAAATTACTTCCTTAGATACACAAGTCATCAACTAAAAGATTCAACTATTTTACAGAAATTAGAGAATGAGGTTCTGCCACATGCTTTCGGTGAGGAGCAGGCAGAAAGATACTCGGAAAACCCTGACATCTTTTGTCTGAAGTGAAACAGA